CGCTAAGGGCATGTACCTTGGTTGCAGTTTGTCCCTGGCCATGGTTGGGGTCGTGTGGGTGGCAACCACTCGATATGGCTCTCTCATGCTGTCGCTTCTCTCTCTTGTCCTCCCTCTCTCCCTCCTGCTCTATCTGAAGATAAATGTAAAAATGTCCTCGGGTGAGGATAATAAATAAATAAAATGGTTACGCCTGTTATATGCATTTCACCTCAATTTTTTATAATAAAGGGAAAAGACATGAATATATAATTTTCAAAAAATATATACATAATGGCCCGTAAACACATGAAGATGTTAACTTCATTCATAACAAGAGAAATAAAAAATAGAAGTATGCCAATATACAATTCCCCACCCATTAACTGGCAAAAGTTCAAATGCTTGATAATGTAGTATGTTTGGAAAAGCCGTGAGAAAACAGGCACTTTCATATATTGCTAGTAGAAAGGCAAAACCTTTATAGGGATATGTGGCAATAATTGTGGCAGACAGATAGTAAAGTGGCCCCCACCTCCTGGTGTTCACCCCTTTTTATAATCCCCTCCCTTTGAATGTGTGCAGATGCCTAGACACATGATGGGACCTATAGTTGTGATTATGGTATATTATGCAAGACTCTATTTGGAGCCTGCTTACTGTAGACTTTCTTTGCTGGCTTGATTAAATAAGTGACCATTTGTGAAAAATCCGTAAGACACAGAACTGTGAGGTGTCTAGAAGCGGAGGCAAGTTTTTAGCTCACAGGCACCAAGAAGTCAGGGCCTACAACCACAATAAAATGAATTCTGCCACCATGTTTGAGCTTGGAAGTAGATACTTCCACATGTAAGCCTGTAGATGAGAACATAGGCCAGCAGACAACTTGATTGCAGCCATGTAAGACCCGATACAGAGAACTCAGTTAAGCCTTGCCCAGACTTCTGACCCACAGAAACTAAACATGTATTAGTTTAAGCAGGGAAGTTTGTGGTAATTTGTTACACAGCAATGGATAACTAACACATAAACCAGGCTATATACCTTTACCTCTCAGATGCAGCATCCCATATTTAAGAATTTACACTCAAGACTACCTCCAATAATACAAAAATACATATGCATATGGTTATTAAGTGTAGCATTATTTACAACCACAAGTTACTGCAACTACTTAAATAACTAATTTAAGAGATTGGTTAAAGTACCTTAAAGCTATTAAAAAAAATGACTGAGTAAGAGCTCCATGAACTGATATATAGCTATTTCTAGAATACATCATTAAGTGGGAAAAGAGAGCCAAGTATGAAATAAACACACAATATGCTACATTTTGTGTATGAAAAAAGAGGATACTTCAAAAAACAATCTGCTTACTTTCATAAAAAACAAAAAGGATGAACAAGAAATCAATGATATTGATGAAAAGGATAAACAAGAAATCAGTGATACTCATTTACCTAAGTAGGGTGTTGTACTGGGGGTGGGGGATGAGATGGGGTACAGAAAGAATAGGGGAGGAAATGACACTTTTTCTGAATATCACTTTTTGTCTAGTTTTGTCTAATTGATAGTCCACAAGTCAGAAAAGTAAATAAACCAATAAGAATGTGGTGGTGGTGGGTGGGCAGGGCACAGGGACCCAAAACCCTAGAACTGAAAATAAATAGAAACAAATAAACCTAAATGTACTAAATTTCAAATTAAAAAAACATAACCACACTAAGGGTGAGGGAGTTGAAGGGGAGCTAGGTAAATTATGAAATAAAAAATATATATATATTCATATATACATATTTTAATCCTCATCCAAGAACATTTTTACATTTATCTTCAGACAGAGCAGGAGGGAGGGAGGGAGGAAGAGAGAGAGAGAAACACATTGATGTGAGAGAGACACATTGAGTGGTTGCCACCCACACACCCCAACCGGGGCCAGGGACAAACTGCAACCAAGATACATGCCATTAGCGGGTACCGAAACTAGGACTCCCTGGTCCGCAAGCCGATGCTCTAACTGCTGAGCCAAACCCGCCAGGGCTGAAGAATATTTTTTATTAAATACTCTTGGTTTAGAAAGAAAAATGATGGCTAGCAAATCCTGAACTACTTTTGGTAGTTCTGTTTATCATAGTTGTATGGAGGTAGCAATTCTGAAACAAATTTTTATATTACAGGACTGAGTGAATGAGTAAATGTATGATGATGTAAGAAGCCAGGGTCCTCACAATGAAAAAAAGCAGACAGATATAGAAAATGGGGGAAGCCAAGGAGTAACCCAATGGAGTTGGATTGGAATCTGAGGTATCAGTATGAATTTATGATTTTAAATGCATTTATGTGTGTGTACATTCTGTCTTGGAGTTATCAGTATGATTTCGTGTGTGTGTGTGTGTGTGTGTGTGTTCTGTCCACTGAAAGGCCCAGAAGCAATGACATCTTACTAATAAGAACATGCCAAGTGCCAGATCTTGGTTTCTATATACCATTTCACATATAAGGAACCAGGTCTTTAAGTACCTAATTCCAGTACTGAACTAGGGAAGACACGAGGGGGCTGAAATATTGTGCCAGAAAGTAAGAAAGTGCTAGAAAGAAAGTGCAAGGAAGGAAGGAAGGAAGGAAGGAAGGGGCATGCCACACAGAAGGACACAGGAGCCAATGAAGGGACTCCTGCTGTCCAAATTTGAGGCAATTTGAAAACCAATGAAAACAAAACAGTAATAGATTATAGCCACCAAATATAATTGAATAAAATGGGAACCATGTGTCCTTGCTAACAGTTAAATATATAGATACAGTAGAATGCTGACTGATAATTGTAGTGTTAGAAAATCACCATTCCACAACTATCATTGCACAGGTTAGTTCACGCAAGAATCATCAATGGATGATAATTCTAAAAGGAAGAAAGTTTGAGAAGTAGCAGGATATTAATTGCATTGTCTCCAAGTATCTCCCCAGAAATTGCTAATAAGTTGCAAGAAGAGAAAGCAATAACTAAACATTGGGGAAACCAAATAACATCTTTTTTTTTCAAAAATATATTTTCATTGATTTTTTGGGGGAGAGAGAGAAGAAGGGAGAGAGAAATAGAAACATTGACGCGAGAGAAACATTCATCGGCTGACTCCTGCATGCTCCCTAGTGGAGACCAAGTAAAGATTAACAACAAAATTATGTGTTATTTTGAAACAGGACATATACTGTAGATCTAATCACCAAGAAACATCAGACAATGTCAAACAGGAATATTCTATAAAATAACTTCCTTGTATTCTTCAAAAATATCAACATCATAAAGTAAGAACAAAAGGCCAAGGAACTGTTCCAGATAATGTCTCTTGTCTAAGACATTAGACAAGTGAAGAAGGCAATGCGCCACTGGACCAAGATGCTATCTGTGCTGTTGGTTTTGGAGTTGGGGGATTCCTGAGTTAAGGAATACAAGGAACGCAGCTCTAGAAGGAGATGTGAGGAATCACATTCTATCCTAGTTTCTGGAAGGAGCTCAGCCCTTCTAATACCTTGACTTTAGTCCAGAAAAACTGATTTGAGACTTCTGATCTCTAGAACTCTAAGATAATAAAATTTATGTTGTTTTAAACCAAAAATAAATAAATAAATAAAGACTAAGACATTACAATCAAATGTACTATAATATCTTGGACTGGATTCTAGACTGGGCAGAAAAATGAATGTTACAAAGGACATTATCATGATAATACATGAAACTTGAATATAAACTGGACATTAGAAAACAGTATTCAAGGTTAAATTTCCTTAATGTGGTAACTACACTGTGTTTATGTTAAAAGAATATCACTGTTCTTCAGAACATATATATAAAGTAGGGGAAGGTAGGAGGGAGTGAAGTAGAAAAAAGTAGAAATAATAAAGCAAATGTAAAATGTTAAGAATTTATGAATTTAGGTAGAGTACATGGGAGATCTCTGTACAATTCATACATCTTATCTGTAATTTTAAAGTTATTTCATAATAAAAACTTTCTATTGGAAAAAAAAAAAAGGTCACACACGCATGTGTATTGGAATTTCTGGAAGGATATACCAAACTTAAAATGTCATTGAGAAGGGGAAAGAGATGAGAAAAAGAAACTTGTCTACAAAGATATTTTAAAGGACAAACTGAATTCCATCCAGTGGTTCTCCTTAAACATATAGTCTCTAAGTCTCCTAACCTGACATCCAGAGACCCAAGGGAATTCTATGGAGAGAATTCATTGGATCTATGAAGGAGATAGGGAAAAAAAAATTACACTTTAATTTCATTAACTTTTAACTAATACTTTTTTCCTCAATTATAAATGCAGGCAACGAATAGTAGTTTTAAAAGTTCCTGTGACTTTATCAACAAGAGAAATCACATTTTCACTTCATATTAGTTACTGAATCTCAATATAATGTATGTACCATTCAGTACGTTCAAAATACAGTAACACTTGCTGCTAGATTTTAATGAGATACATGATAAAGAGCAGGTTATATATCACAAATCAGCTTTTTAAATTTCTGATAACTATATTTCAAAATAACTAGTTTCCTGGTAATCCTATGTATTTATTTTATACATTTATAAATGTTATTCTCATGGGCTTCCAACTGTTCAAGGTTTTCAATATAAAAAAAGTCAAGAATCTCTGCTCTAAGCTATCAATCCCTCATTTGCTTACAAGGATGTCATAAGGAGGAAAATTCAAACAGTTCACAGCTTTTTGCTCTGCCAGAAAGCAAATTATTAAAAAAATCAATGAACATTTAATCTAAGCCTCTCATTATTTCATTTCTAATTTCCCATATGTGCTAAAGCAAAAATTATTCACATTAATGGCAACCTTACACAAAGCATCCAAGAACACATATACCATCACACACCCACACATGAAAAAAATACAGGCACACAGTAACTATAAAAATGAATCAAGACTGTGAAATGCCTCACAGAAAATCTCAGTGCTTACATATCTTAAAGAAATTGGTTAAAAACAAGATACTATTTACCATCTCTCTTTTGGAAAATTTTTTAAAATTTCTTTAATGATTGGCTGGTAGCAGGCATCCCTTTCTGCTTTCCCACTTTCACACCAGTCTCTCACAAACTGTTTCAATGTGGACTTTAACTTATCCATGTCAAATGTAGACGCTGGCATAATCTTTCCATTCCCCTGTTTAAAAAAGAGAAATCAATTAGTTTTTGAGAAAAGTAATCAATCTTGAATATAGTTAAATAGACATGCTACTTTTAAAGGGCTATAGAGATAGTTTAGTGGATAAATCACTGGACTCTCTCATCAATGGGGTTTGAGTGCAGTTTGAGATCCTAAATGAAAAGTTTATGGTCTCACTTCTACCTTCAATAGATTACGGTCCATTAATCATGAGACCACCATATAATTAAGCAGTCTTTATTCAGGAGAGGACAGCAATGAGCTGCTATGGAGACCATTCTCTAAGAGAGAAGAAAGTCCCTGACGGGGCAGCATGAAGAGGCTCATAGTGGAGTGGCCCAACTGTGTTTCTATCCTGTGGATACAGAGAGGACACAAGTTTCTATTATTGCCAGTCCCTTGAGATTGGTAAGTGAAAATAATTTCTAAAATAAAAGATGACTCGTCCTGGTCGGTGTGGCTCAGTTGATTAGATTGTTGTCCTGTGCACTGAAGGGTCTCAGGTTCCATTCCCAGTCAGGGCACAAACCCAGGCTGTAGGTTTGATTCCTGGACAAGGTATACGTAAGAAGCAACCAACTGATGTTTCTCTCACAATGATCTTTCTCTCTCTCTCGCCCTTCCTCGCTTTAGAATCAATGAAAAACATATCCTTGAGTGAGGATTAAATATATATATATAAAGATGACTATCAATTGACAAAAGATACTGGGAACTGAGTTTAGCAAGGGAAATTGATTTTATATAGCTAATAAAGGTGTTTATAAAAATGTAAGTCACAATGCCCTGGCCAGTTTGGCTCAGTGATTATAGCATCGATCTGAGGACTGAAAGGTCACAGGATCAATTACCAGTTAAGGGCATGTACCTGGATTGTAGGTTCAATCCTGGGGATTGTGCAGGAGGCAACCAATCAGTGTGTGTCTCTCTCCCTCCCTTCCACTCCTTCTAAAAAAAAAGATCAGTGGAAAAACATCCACTGGTGAGGATTAACAACAACAACAAAATTTAAGTCACTAACTATATGCCAGAACACTATGTATAAGAACACTACACCAATAATTATCTTAGTATTTAAAGAACAAATCCAGCTTCTGGCATACTGTTCTATTAAGCCTAATTAAATGACTGAATATACAAGTGGAAACATTCTTAATAGAGCAAATGACTTATGCAAAATTATAATAATGAAATCCAGAAACATAAAGACCTCAAAATACTGAGATTAAATTATAAAATAAAAACAAATAGAACAAAGTTCACATACATTTTCTCCATATTCTTTATTTTCAAACATATGTATGCAATCATTCACAATGGTCAGTAGAATTTCTTGATTATGATCAATGCATTTGCGGATCTTGTCCAAGTGAAGAAGAAACTGAGGAAGTAGTTTCTGTTGATTAGCTGGAAGTGATCGAAACTGTCTTTCTGTTCGGTTCACTCGCTCATGCATACTGGTGCTAAAACATAAAAGGTGTTTTTTAAATTGGCAAAAGAATTCTCAGCAGAGGCCAATCTTATTTTAAGGCTGTCTTTCTGTACAATTATTCCCTTATATCACTGGATACTTTCCTGCCACAATCTTTTGGTTTCTTAAAGGATATCCACTAAAAAGTAATGTGTTTTCACCTTGGTACAAATTCTCTAAGCAGCCATACAAAATGCAAATCGTTTATAACTAGTAAAAGTAAACATCTACACCAATTAGAATAGGAGGGAAAACATTAAAGAGGACTAGTGTACAATATGTTTATTTTTATTATTTCAATTTCCAAACTTAAACTTTTCAGCAAAGGTAGCTGAATGCTTTAGATTTCTCTATCAAATTAACAGAATGCTGCTCTGAAATTACTTGAGAATAGATACAAAATGCGTTTTGAAATTAAGAGCCAACCAAATTGAATTTTTCTTTTTTTTCATCCTCACCCGAGGACATTTTTCCATTTTTTGTACAGACAGAGTGGGAGGGAGAGAGAAGAAGAGAGAGAGAGAGAAACATTGATGTGAAAGGGACACATCGGCCCTGGCCGGTTTGGCTCAGCGGTTAGAGCGTCCGCCTACGGTCCGGAGAGACCCGGGTTCGGTTCCCGCTAAGGGCATGTACCTTGGTTGCAGTTTGTCCCCGGCCCTGGTTGGTCGTGCGGGTGGCAGCCACTCGATGTGTCCCTTTCACATCGATGTTTCCCTCTCTCTCTCTTCCTCTCTCTCCCTCCCACTCTGTCTGTACAAAAATGGAAAAATGTCCTCGGGTGAGGATAAAAAAAAAAAAAAAAAAAAAGAAGGGACACATCGAGTGGCTGCCACCCGCACGACCAACCAGGGCCGGGGACAAACTGCAACCGAGGTACATGCCCTTAGTGGGAACCGAACCCGGGTCTCTCCGGACCGCAAGCGGACGCTCTAACCGCTGAGCCAAACCGGCCAGGGCCCAAATTGAATTTTTCAAAATATCGTAAAAGATCTTATATAGTACAGTCCTGGCCAGTTTGGCTCAGTGGTTAAAGTGTTGACCCATGGACCGGTTCCCATTAAGGGCATGTACCTTGGTTGTAGTTTGTCTCTGACCCCACTTGGGGTCGTGCGGTAGCAGCCAGTCATTGTGTCTCTCTCACATTGATGTTTCTCTCTCTCTTTTTCCTCCCTCTCTCCCTCTTGCTCTACCTGAAGATAAATGAAAAAATGTCCTCAGGTGAGAAAAAAAAAAGATCTTATATATTATAAAAGTAGTAAACAATTTAAAAATTGAAACTGTACAGTATTTTACACGACAATATTCACACTTTGCATTCTGAAAGGTTCCAAATAACCTGGACGATGCGGCTCTGTGGATTGAGTGTCATCCCATGCACCAAGAGGTCGCCAGTTCAATTCCCTGTCAGGGCACATGCCCAGTTTGTGGGCTCAATCCCTAGTAGAGGGTATGCAGGAAGTAGCTGATCGATGTTTGTCTCTCACATCGATGTTTCTCTTTCTCTCTCTCAAAAAGTCAATAAAAACATATTAAAAAAACAAAAAGTTTCCAAGTAACTTATGCCCTGGCTAGTGTGGCTCAATGGCACCAAAGGGTCATGAGTTCCATCTCTGGTTGGGGCATGTGCATGAGGCAACTGATTGATGTCTCTCTCTCACATCAATAACTCCCCTCCCCCCGCTTCATCTCTAGAATCCATGAAAAGCATATTCTCAGGTGAGGATTAAATGTTTCCAAATAACTCTAAAGGTCATACTGGGTACTACCTATTTGTAAAATTTTAAAAAAAAATCATTTTTAAAAGTTAAATGTTATACTCACAATAAAATGTGATTTTACTTCAATCAGATGGGCAAAATTTAAAAGCCTATATATCTGAAATGTTGGTAAAAATGTGGAATAATTAGAATATTTATATACTGACTGATGGTGGGTGCATTAATTAGTATAACTAGTTTGGTAAATAATTTAGCATTACCTAGTAAAGCTTAATATGTGTATTCCCTATGACTCAGCAACTATACTATTAGACACATACTCCAGAAACTCCTGCGAATGGTCACCATGAAACATGAAAAATCTTAATCACGGCACTGTTAGCAATAACAAACAAAAACTCTGGAAACAACCCAAAGGTCGATCACCAGTAAAATGAACAAAGAAAGTACAATATAGTCACACAGTGAAATGCAATTAAATTAATAAATTATAGCTACAGACGATAATATGGATAAAAGGCAGGAGTGTAAATATTTGTTGAAAAATCAAGATGTAGAAAAATACATAATATATAATTCCATTTTACATAAAAATAAACAATATATTGTAGGAACTTAACATGCAGAAAAACTACAAGGAAAAATAAGGAAGTGAAAATTCAGGAAAGTGATGTTCTTTGAAGGGAAAGGGATAGGATGTTCTTTTTAAAACTGGGTGGTAGGTTCATGGGTGTTTGCTGCATCCTTCTTTACGTTTTACATATACAAACAAACAAATAACTGTATGTCTCTTTTAAAAGTTCTTTAGCATTTACTCAGTATTAAATGAAAATAAAAAATACTCTTTTTCACTTGACTGCCTGAGTCTCTATTCATCCAAATAACTAATTTTTACCTTACGCTACATTACTCTCTAATTTCTGAACAGTAATATTTAAAGAAGCTCAGAAGAAACCCCTGACAAAACTTAAGCAAACATCTGGACATATTTTTAGGAGCTTGGATGTAGTGGTATTTGGGGGTTAGGGCAGTGTGAAAAGATAAATTTGGCATTGATTGGCTGCACTGATGTTTGCTTTTTTGCTTCCCCCACCCACCTTGAGACAGTATAATAGTGAGCTCTGGAATCAAACAGATCTGGACTGAAATCCAGGGTATGCCACCTATTTGCTATGTGACCCTTGGCCAAATTACTTCCTTTCTCTGTGCCTCAACTGTCTCATATACAAAAACATAACAACGATGAGGATTACAGAAGCTATCATTTGTTGAGATTTAATAAATCCCAGGTACTAAACTAAGTCATTATGCTTAAATATAGTAGGTATATCTAATTTATAAAACTATTATGTTCACAGTGAAAATATGAAAAATGCAGAAAAGTAAAAGTAGTCTTTTAATTAAAAGTACAATTCCTCTTTTATAGGCAACCACTTCTAACTTTTTGGCATATTTCTATTTTGTTGTTTAAGACAAAGCCATTTAGCACCTTTCTATTAAAAATATGGTAGTACAAAGAACAGATCACTTGGAACTGGTTAGAAATGGAGAATCTCAGGCCTTACACAAGACCTACTGAAATGTAATATGCCTTTTAACAAGATCTTCAAATGATCCATAAACACATTAAAGTTTTAGACGCACTTGTAATTCTTCATCCTTATTAGAGGAATTTTCCCAGGTCAGAAAAAAGTTCTCAAATGACTATATGGCAAATGACTGTAATGACTGTTCATTATTTCATCTTATGCAACCAAAATTTATTTAATTATTTTCTAAACACTGGGCATCTAGATACTTTCACTTGTCTATATGATGACTTTGTGTGTTCAAATCCGTTTATATTTTATATTTAAAAAATTACCACAAATTCCTCAAAGAATGACTAGGTCAGAAAGGATAGTATTTTTAAGTCTCTTAATGCAAACTGATTTTCAGAAAGACTGTACCAACTTACATACCTAGCAGTAGAGTATGACACTAAAGGAACCATTTAAAGTGGCCATAGTAAATGTTAGGCAAACAGCAAAGTTGCAAGTTTACAATTTACTGTCAACATATTAAATAGTCTTTTAGTATTTCATTCCTAGTATTCTTGGGCACTGGATGTCCAAAAATTGCCATCTCACCATACCTAAAAACTCAATATATCCAAACGAAATTCAGCACATATCCCACTAAAAAAACTTGCACTTTTTCCTACATGGTTGATATCAATGAATGGTACACTATATATCCACTGGAGTCAGAAACTAACAAGTCATCCTAAAATGCCTCTTCTCAAAGCCCACACACTCAATTAAGGGCAAGATCCTTTTGATTCTACTTCATAAAACTATCTGCAAATTACACCCCCTCCAATGCTTTAGCTCAGGCCCTCATTATGTCTCTCAAAGAGTACTGAGAGGCCTGCTACCTAAGAATGCTGTCCCTACCCTAACTGCCCGACTATCAGATGGATTCTTCCAAAATACAAGTCTCATCTTTGTCACTATTTAACCTCTGTATTTCAGCATATATAAAAAGCAATCAAATATTCAGTTAGGCTTCCTAGGTGCCACTCTTTGTTCTCCATAGAGACTACTTATTTCCATGATAGCAGGGAAGTTGAGGTAAGTTCTGAATTGGTCAGAACAGCCTAACATATATTTGCTGTCAATTCCTGCTACATAAGTGATATTAACTATACAGAGAGGGATGAAATGTGGCATATCCCTTAAGCCTTGGTTACTTAATGGTATGCCAGGCTATCTATAACATACATCCACGGTGACTCTCTTGAAGTGATGTCTTACCAAGGTTGAGAAAATAGTCCAATCCTCACTGTACTATTATAATTAGGCATACCTTCATTATTCTGTAAATGCTTACATTATGAGGAATAGAGTGAAGAAATAAAATGGAGTCATTATAGTCAAGCTGCTCAATTATTGAAACCAATTAGGTTGAGGTATAGGTAATGATTTTATTCTTGTTTTAACTAGCCTGGTTTTAACTAGTTTTAACTCAAAAAATTTAAGTTTTTGAACTTTCCAGTTCTGTGGTAATGCCTGGATATACAAGAGACTTGCAGATAATCCTCTAATCACCCTCTGAAGGACTCATGTATCCAAACCACCTGACATCCATCATCCAGACTGCCTAATATCTGATAACCATCTTGGACCAATCCTACTGCTAATAATACAGGACTGATTACTCTAAAAAAAATGTACATTTTACTGTAAAAACTCTGAACTTATTTTTCTTCTTGGAAACACATCTGAGTTTTTTTTGCCTAGCTGTATTACCAGTTTGCAAACTCTGAGAATCTTGAATAAATCTTTATCATTTATTTCTAGCCAGAGCCTCCAGGCTGTTTTTGAATATGCTGACAACTATGTGCTTTAAGACAGGGGTGGCAAACCATGCCCTGTCCCCGCCTCACCCTGTGTTTTTGTAAAAAGGGTTTTACTGAAACATAGTCATGCCTATTCGTTCACATATTGCCTATGGTTACTTTCACAATGAGGGCAGAGTTGAACAGTTATAACAGAGACCACCGAGCTCTGAGAGCTTAAAATATTAATTGCTTGGCCCTTTAAAAAATGTTTGCCTACCTTGTTTTAAAGGAATGTTTTACAACCTTCACACTTTCCTTGGTTCTGAACTCAGTCAGCATAATGAGGCCACATCTTCTGGCAGCTAAGGGGAAAAAGTAGTCAGCAGCCATCTTTCCTTAAGGGTATCTCTACCTCCCTGGAAGGCTGGTCTGGGTGTGACCCCAACTCTGACTTAGTTGCTTTTCATCAAGGTTAAGTCAAGAGGGGTATTTTAAGGCTAACAACTATTTGCTACTTATTACAATGCTCTAATCATTTTTACCTTAGTCAGAATATGTCATCTAAGCAAAATCTGTAGGAGGCACAAAATTGGAAGCCACTGAAAAGAGAAAGCAATCAAAGACATTTCTTGCCTATGACTTTAACTTAAATGACCTATATATTAACTAAAAGACATTTAGCAGTAAAACTAAACTCTGTGGCTGCTGAGACTGAGGAATTACAATTTTAATTTTATTAAATTTTAATTAATTTAATTTAGCCAGTTGTAACGAGCAGCCAAGGTACTAGACAGTGCAAGTCCAGAAGATCATAAAATGCTGGGATGTAACAATCCAGTGTTTCCTGCTACACAATACTTTCCGTAACCCTAATCCTTTAAGTGGTATTTTTAAAAGCATATTTTTAATCATATACTATTTTCAATCTACAAAGTGTTTCATCAGAGAGTACATACAAATAAAAAGGACTGTTTTTTAAAAATGAAATTTTCCTCAATCCCACATTAAACTGGTAAAGAAGAGGGATGAGAACAAGGAAACAATAACACAACAGCTAGAACATGCATACAACTGCCCTTTTTTATACTGTCACACTTGGGTCCTAGATCCACATCCAAGTACCCCTACCTTCACAACAAAAAACGTCCATCTGATATACCTTATTATAAATATCAATTTAAAATTAGTTCTCTTGCCCTGGCCGGTTTGGCTCAGCGGTTAGAGCGTCGCCTGCGGTCCGGAGAGACCCGGGTTCGGTTCCCGCTAAGGGCATATACCTCGGTTGCAGTTTGTCCCCGGCCCTGGTTGGTCGTGCGGGTGGCAGCCACTCGATGTGTCCCTTTCACATCGATGTTTCCCCCTCTCTCTCTTCCTCTCTCTCCCTCCCACTCTGTCTGTACAAAAAATGGAAAAATGTCCTTGGATGAGGATTTAAAAAAATATAATAAAATAAAATTAGTTCTCATATTTTATAATTGGGTACAAACACATATTTTAATTATGTCCATTATAGTCCCAACACATTCCCCAATATTCTTTCTAGATTTTTCAATAGTCAAATGCACTGGACTTTTCTGCATCTACCATTCTTAGCTATCTAATGTCAACTGCTTCTCCTGCCTGTGTTGTTCTTCCAGGCCCAATACTTACATCAAATTCAATCCTCTGGTAGTCTACCTTCCTCTGTTGATACGAAATAAAATCCCCACACTACTAATTCCCTTTCCGGCTCCGTAAGTAATACAGCCCATAGTTCCTATACCTGTGTTTAATTAGTAAGTTACTTCATTAAGATCTTTGAACTTCAAAAACTCATGTCACAAATGTAATCATATTCTAAATAAATAACTTTAAGCTTTTATTAAGCAAGTTTCTAAATTCAGAAGAGTAACAAACTAGTTTACCAACTGGTCACAAATTGACAGACTATTTGGGAATGACAAATGTTATTTCTTTGTTAATACAACTATTTGTTAAAAATAGAACTTCAAAAACCTATGGCAAGCACTGGTGACACAAAAATAAATGAGGCTCAGTCTCTGCCCTTGAGGAGGTCACAGTCAAGCAATATAAAAAAAAGTTTGCATGAAGCAAGCAAAAGCCCATCTAGGGAACACATTTTCTTGCGTGGGAAGTCATGTCTAATTACAACTACGGACGCAGAACACGTCTCTCGGTGGACTCATCTCTTACAAGAATAAAATACTATCTTTAGCTGCAAATCCAGTTGATTTAAGTCCCTTTCAGGATCTTTGAATCAAAATTGTGTGGTTAAGCTAATTTAACATCTATCTAGAAGAAAAGTAGAAGTTGGAAAGTTTCAAGTCCTACCACCGTGCCAGGCTCACGGCGAGAATTGGATACATACTTGCAAAATATAAGATCACAGAGGTGGCTCTCACTGTGCCCTCGCTCAAGTCCCTCCTTAATCAGCAACGTTAGAACATCCGGACCACCTCCGACCTTAATTTCACCCAACAGTTAGAGACACTGAGCCGCATCATTCACCCGCTCACCACAAATGTGCCTGTACTTCCACAGCGCCATGGGGCGTGGGGGGAAACCTTAGGCTGTTCTCACAAGAACTGGCAACAGATTGGGAAAATACGTCCTGCCGCATCGCATCCCACGTGGAGGTGAACCTGGGCTCTCCCTGTGCTCAGTTCGGAGACCATCGACAACTCAAACAAATCATGCCCAGCACTGGACAATTTACCAGCATCACCTTGTCTGAATTGTCACAGCATTTTTCCGGTCACCCCCACACCGGCCTCAAAGCCAAACCTTTACCGAGGGACGGAAGGCAAGAGAGCTAATCTGATCCTGAGGTCAGAAGACAAGAGGCTGAGCAGCAGACACGCGGGTGTGCAGGGCCGAGGGGGACATGGTGGTGCGAGGAGTGTCTCGGGGACCCCGAGGTCAGCTCAGGCGGCCGGTCCGGGAGCCCCGGAGGCGTGGCGGCCGGGAGCCAGCGCGGGTGGCGCCACCGTTCGGGCGGGCGCCCCAGGGGCTGAGCCGGGTCCGCCACGGGCTCCTTACCCGTAGTAGCGGAAGGCATTAATGATCTTCCAGAAGTGCTCGCGCTCGAGTCTCTCCTCCTCCTCCTCCGTGTTGCGCGTGGCTACCGCCACCGTCGCCGCCGAATCCACCGCGACCGAGCCCAAACGCCCGGCGGAGAACTGCACTTCCACCTCCCCGCTCCCGCCGCCGCCCCCGCGGCCCCCGCCACCTCCCCCGCAGTCCTCCTGCAGCTGAGAGGCGGGCGGCGACGGGCGCCGCCGTCGCTGCATAGCTACCGCGGCCCTCAGCCTGGCTCGCTTGCGTCTCGCCCCGATTGAAAGCGTGGTGGCGGCTGTTCGGTCTTCCTCTAGACACGCCCCCAGCTCGCGGCGCGCTCCGCCTCCGCCGCCCTCAGGCCTCCAGCCGCGCGGGGCTTCGCCCGGTCTTCAGAGCGCCCAGGCCAAGCGCGCATGCCCACGTGAGGGTACAGCGAAGGGCCGCGGCCGCCGCCTGCGCTCATTTGTGGCCGACCTTTGGCGACGACGCGCTGACGTCACGACGACACGCTCGGTGGGCCGGGTGGGAGGAGCTATGGAGGGATTCCCTGCTGGTGTTGGCCTGACACCTAGGAGCAGCCTCCGGGGGGTGGGGTTCAAGAAGCTGCAAGTGCTGGACTGTGGAACAGGCAACTAAGCTAAAGTATTAGCAGAGGGAAAAGTAGAACAAAAAGTTAAGCTAAGTTAAGTTTTACTTCATTTCCTAAATGAATTTCTACTTTTAATTACAGAAGAGAAGGAGGACACCATCACCTTGTCAATGTTTAGGGGCCTGTGAAAATCCTAATGAGCGGTCCTTGACTGGTGAAGGCGGCAGATGAAGAAAATGCAGGAACCTAACTCTAACCAGTACTTGCCTTTGGAAGACCACCACAGCGCACTGGAGCCCTAATGCGCACAATTGGCGCAGCACTAGCATCTAATGGTGGCCCTTAACAATGCCAGACCTCTTTCTCTTTGCCTACATTTATTCCCCCCCCCCTTTCTCTCTGTGCTAATAGCTAAAACAGCTGCCCTACCTGCATTTAATGTTATTCTTAAGAAATAACTCATTGCTTTTAATTTAATCTACCACCCAGCAAATCAGTCTTTCAAAATAATGGTAATGGGGAAAGATTATTTTATGCAGAAGAATTAAACCTGCCCAGGGACCACAAATTTTGTTTAAAAGATGTAATTATATTGAAGATGAAGTGGATTCTTATTTTCATCACTTAAATTAATAATTGAAATGAGGGGAATGTTAAAACAAATACTGTGGGCACACTCTCCCTCTAGGGAGCACGCCCATGCCATTCCCTTCCCCCTCTCCTTCCCCCACAGGCAGGCATCTCCTAAACTCTAAGGGTCCCCAAGAAACTTGCAACCAGGAACAATGGGCAGATACAGCTTGTCCCAGGCTTAAACCCTGAACCTTTCTCCAAGGCCCCCTTTTTTCTGACTTCCCAGTGAGCCAAAGCAGCCCAGCCTAGGCTCTCCTGTTGCTTTGTCTATTCTAAGCCTTTCCTTGTTTCACTGTCCCCAGCATTAATAAATATCCCATTAAAAAATTTAAAAATGCCCTGGCCAGTTTGGCTCAGTGGTTGAGCATCGGCTTGCGGACCAGAGAGTCCCAAGTTCAGTTCCTGCTAGGGGCATGTACCACAGGAAAAAAAAAAATTTAAAAACAAAAACAAGTACTGTGATTATTCTTCATTAATGTTACATTTTTATTTTATTTTATATTTTTTATCCTCACCCGAGGATATTTCTTTTGCATTTATCTTCAGATAGAGTGGGAGGGAGAGAGAGAAAGAGAAACATCCGAGAGAGAGAGAGAGAGAGAGAGAGAGAGAGAGAGATTTAGAAATCGGGTGGTTGCCACCTACATGATCCCAACCGTGGGTACAAACTGCAACCTAGGTACATGCCCTTAGCGGGAACTGAACCGGGGCCTCTCCAGTGTGCAGGCACATGCTCTAACTGCTGAGCCAAACTGGCCAGAGCTAATGTTTCATTTTTATAGAAGACTTTTATATGTGCTGCCAAAGAGGCACTCTATTTTATTTCTTCACTCTATTCCTCGAATCAATTAATTACTGGGTATCAATTAGCTAAAATTCTGGATTTAAAGTGTAAAATTTGAAGCTAGAATCAGAATAATGTGTAAGGAAGAGCCAGAATTTCACTATCTTCCTAAAATCTCTAGAAAAATCAGTGGTTTTTTTGGTGGGAAGTAATGTTTCTTCCCCACTCTTGATGTTTCCATCCATGAAAAGGGAGTTTAGTCGGGAGTTTAGTCAAGCAATACTCCTACACTCTCTCTACTCTACTCACTGTGCCTGGAGAAGACTGACTGGTAAGAATAAACTACATGAATCAGCTCCTGTCATTATTATTATTATTATTATTATTATTATTATTGTTTTTCCTCTTTGGAGTAAACCTGCGTGCAGTAAGCATAATTTCTTCTCTGTTTCTCATACCATAAAACCCATCCCACTTGGAAAAGTCCTGGTCCAATGCTGCCTGTGACCATATGAGTAAGTCTGCTAATTCTGGATAAATTTAGGAGGCTCATTTGACTCTTACATTAGGATTCTCCAAGGTAGGCTTTATCAGTAATAGAGAGGATATTTTAGCCACTATCTGCCTCTCCTTTGTCTTATTGCTCAATTTATTCTGAATCCAGGTGGGAAATAGAGAAGTATATTAACTATCTTATTTTCTGTATTTTTTTTTAATCCTCACTGAAGGATATTTTTCCATTGATTTTTTTTTTTTCAGATTGAGTGGGAGGGAGGGAGGGAGAGAGAGAGAAAAAAACATCGATGTGAGTGAGACACATTGACAGGTTGTCTCCTGCATGTCCCAGACCAGGGCTCGGGATCCAACTGCAACCAAGGTATGTTCCCTTGACTGGACTTGAACCCAAGATTCTTCAGTCCACGGGCACTGACGCTCTAACTGCTGAGCCAGGGCTGTATTTTTTTTAAAATTTATCTTTATTGTTGAAAGTATTACAGATGTCCCTCCTTTTTTCTCCCATTGACACTCTCCATTTTCTGTTTTTTTAATTTATTTATTTTTTCTTTATTGATCTTTAGAGAGAGAGGAAAGGAGAGGGAGAGAGATATAAAAACAATGAGAGAGAACATAGATTGGCCGCCTCCAGCATGCCCCCCCCTGACTGGGGATTTGGCCCACAATCTGGGCATGTGTCCTGACCAGGAATCGAACCAGCAACCTCTTGGTGAATGGGTCAGTGCTCAACCACTGAGCCACACTGGTTGGGCCATTTTCTGTATTCTTGATGCTCTGCCATCTGGGGCTTTATTGACTGGGGAGAGACTGCGTCTCCCCACGCTAGCTAATTTCTAGGGAGAGCAAACAAATCCACAGAATCTTTTATAAGCAAATAGATCAAGCTGGAACACACAACCATCTCCTTTATCAAACTCTTACACACCAAGCCAATATTCCCCTGCCCTAATCAACCCAGGGATAGGCACCAATTTGGGATAGTCTCTACACCCCAAATCCTGCTAAATTATTCCAACTAGCCAATCCTAAACCTTCTTACTCTGCTTTGACTTTTCCGTCCTGTGGAAACTACTATACAAGCTTGTACCCATGCTTTACCCCACGCTCTCTGCCTCCTGGCTGAACCTGGTGCTTCCTGTGTGGCCCTTCCCCTCCTCTTGCAGACTGTTAGTAACAAACTATCTTGTCAAAGGCAGTTGTCTCCTGCCCTGGCCGGTTTGGCTCATCGGTTAGAGCATTGACCTGACGTCTGAAGAGACCAGGGTTTGGTCCCCGCTAAGGGCATGTACCTCGATTGCAGTTTGGCCCTGGCCCTGGTTGAGTCGTGTGGGTGGCAGCCACTTGATGTGTCCCTTTCACATCGATGTTTCTCTCTCTCTCTCTCCCTATCTGAACAAAATATAAAAAATGTTAAAAAAAAAATGTCCTCTGTGTTATAGCTCACTGTCCTTGGAATTCAATAAAGAAAAACAACTTGTCCTTGAGCTGCCCTAATTAACAGCCTCAGGGACAACAAGAGAAACAATGGGGATGTTATAGATGGCTTTCACTGGGAATTTGAAAAGTAACATCCTTCAGAAAAAGGGAGGACAGAAATGGCCCCAAGGCCAGAATGTCCTGCATACTCTGTAAATAAACTGATAGGGAGAAACTGAAGCTGAATAGCAGGATAGATGTGTGCTGACCCAGTTCACCCAGTTCCCTTTAGCCTCAGCTCCCTCCCATCTCTGTTCCCTCCTGCTTATCGCTAACTGCCTCAGCTTCTGTACACGTAGCTTGCTTGCTCTGCTAAACTCTTGAATGACCCCTGTCCTATATAAGCAACCCTCCCCCTGAGCTCCGGGCTACAGTTCTCCTCTGTGTAGGTTGGCTGCAGTCACTGCACAGGTAATAAAGCTCACCTTTAATTCACCCAACTTTGTGTCCGAGTGAGGTTGACTCTCCTAGGTTACAACACTTGAGTGAGGATTAAAAAACAAAACAAAAAACAAAACAAAACAAAAAGGCAGCTGTCTCCTGATCTCTTGGTCTCACCATGCATGAATAGTAATAAAACCTACATTTTAAAACTGGGAATTCTTATCGGGCCCCTCCAAATACCCTAAAGGATATCGTCAGGAAATGATTCTAAGTGTGACTTGATAACACAGTCACTGATATAATTTTCCCTTCTTTCCTGCTATCTTTGTTTTTAAATCAGTAAGATGGGAACAGAATTACTAAAAGAGCTGAGCTCTGACGAGCAACAATTTGCCCAACCTTCGTTTATTCTTAGGATTCTAACCTAAGACTTCCTAAAGAAAGATAGCTTATCCAAGAATTTTTCAGTCAATCTACATCTTAAGTGTGAAAAATTCTTAAGTGTTCTGAACACGAGAGAAATGTAATTTGTGGTCCAAGTTTTCAAGAAGCTTTTGGTACAGTAGGGAAGCAAAACCAAGAAATATTAAACAATTGAGATGCTTTAGTGTTAAAATAGTATGGATTAAGTGAAGTGTAATGGGAATTAAGGAACAGGAGAACAGTTTGAAAGTGGCATAGAGCTAAATGTCAAGGAGGCAAAGATGTGGGAGTACTCTTTGCAAACCAATTCCAAGAGATTTATTTTTTTCATATTACTGAAAAGATCAGGCATAGGTAAGTCTAGAAGCTCAAATTATATCATCAGGAATCTGTCAGTTGTTATTTCTAATAGTGCTAAAAGAGCACCA